GGGAAAGAGCTTCCCCAAAAGAGCAAAGTACCAAAGGGTGAAACTTTGGAAAAACAAAATAAAAGGACAACCCAAAAGATGATCATGATTCTCCCTTTTTTTTCCCCTTTGGTTTTGTCAAAAACTCAAAGATCACAGATAAATCAGACGAAGAAAAGGGTTTATATACCATAGCCAAGAGGAGGTTCCTAGGGCTGTGAAACTTCTCCCAGTCTCTGTCCTTTGCAAAATCATCCATTTTTTTCATGAGAAGATCAAGAGAGACCACCACTTCTCCTTCTTCCCCTGTTTTCATCTTCTTCTTTTTTTTTTTCTCTAAGCCCAAAAACCCTAGCAAATAAACAATACCAGAAATGCTTAAATGTATGCGTACATATTTTCTATATGACAACAACGAGCCAGACACTCGGTTCCTTGTATGGGAGAAATTTGAGAGAGACGTAAATCTGTTTGGTTGGTTATCTTTTTTCGGGGCGTGACGCGTGACCGGAAACGGGTTATTCCCGGTGGAGACAGGAAACGCGTAAAGCCGAAAGGACTCCGATTACGACCGACACGTGGCGAACATCGACCGGTTTCATCTCGAATATCGGTCTCCGTGGGGTTTTCCTTGGATAGCCCTTGGGCCTTCGTTTTCCCCTCTTGGTGGGCCCATTCCCCATCGTTTTCGTTTCCTATATTCGATTTTCCATGTTTTTCTTGTGTTTTTTTTTTAATGTTTCTTTTTCCATTTATTTTCAAAATTATGTAATAATTATAAAATAGTATCGGTAACAGATAGTGACCAAAAATAGATGTGGACCACGTCATCAAACCATTGAAATGGATCAACTTGCAGAACGTAATATAAATACAAGTAGGGGTGTGGTGTGGAGAATTCTGTGTTTAAAAATTATATCTACTTATTTATTTTTATATGGATTTTTTTATTTTTTTTTGTTTTCGGAAGAATATATTACTTATATATATATACACACACACACGAAATCAAGCATCGTTTTCTATATCTTTTTGTGTTTTTAGACCGGCGGTCCATAAAACAACATGGGGTATTAATTGTAATATGACTATAGATACGATATTTATTTCATCTCTTTTTTTTTTCTGTGAAATGTTTACTCTTTTTTTTTTGCGGACCTTAGAGTTTGAGTTATTCGATATTGGATCCAAAACTTAATTTTACGTTTGAAACTATTTTTTTTCTTTTTCTTTTCAAAATTTCAAAGTGCAATCCAATCAATTCATTGGAAATTCAAAATATTTTTTTATTGTTCAATTTATTTTTCATAAAAAATATAACAAGGGCATTTCTCTAAAATTTTTTTAAAAAAATAATAATAAGAGAAATAAATAAATAAATAAATAAAATTATACAATTTGGATACTTTTGTGAAGGGAATCATCAACGAGCCCATGACTCGGGAGTATGTTGGGCTTTCTGAGTCAGGCCCTTTAGTCTTTAGGCTTCTCCATATTCAAAATTAGTAATAAGATAGGACACTTTTAATTTACATAATCAACCAAACATACATACATTTGATTTTTGTTTTTGTTAAACGTACATTTGATTTGTATATAATTTATATACAAATATTCCATTTGCTTATAATTTATATTGGATTCAATTTTTTTTAGTTATTGTCGATTGTGAAATCTAATAGTGAGAGACAAATTGTTATGAGATATTGTCAAACCAATGCACACACTTTTTTTTTTTTTGATAATTCAGAAGTTCACCGTACCTTTGGTCCGACTACATCTTCCAGAGGATCGGAGAAGTCCATGTGAATGTTCCTCCTCACGATTGGGTTTAAATCCAGGATGAAAATATGCTTTGAATGTTCTCTCACCACTAGGCCACCCAAATTTGGTTCAATGTACACACTTCGGATAGAAGACAATAATTATCAAACCGATACGTACTTCAGAAATCTTTTTAAATACATATAAAATATAAAAACGAACGCTGCAACAGAAGTATGAGAGAGTGAAAACGTCATTATGATGTTTAATACAAATATATTATTTAAAGATATATGATGTCAGCACGACATCATTATGACATGGCCCATCCGCATGACAGAAAGAATACGCTTCTACTACACTACACTCCACAATATATGGATTTTTTTTTTTGTAATAAAGAGTTTTTTTTATTGCTTTTATTTATTCTTTTCTATTTTAATATTCATTCTTGTTTGTTTCGAAACTTTTTCTTATTCGAGACCCACTCTCCTATATATATTCTAAAAATTATAATGAAAAAATGAAAATATCTTAATTAAATAATATAATATTCTTGAAATCGAAATTTTTTCATTCAGAACTGAATATAAATTTTTTTAGAACTAAAAACCTCAAATAATTAAACAGATATGAAACCAAAATCCCAAAGGACCGGCCGTTGTTCCCGTTCTTCTCGGCCTCGTAATTTATTCAAGCACGAGACAACTCTTCAAGGAAACAAGGCAACTCTTTGAATAATTGACTCTATGATACTGTAATAATACAAAATGATCTTAATTTATTTAATGGGCTATTATTATTATTATTATACTAAAAAGCCTACACAACACCCATGTACATATATATATGTATAATGATGGATATTTGCATTATATATAAAAAAAAAAGAGAGTAAATAACCGAAGAAAACATATATCCACTGTTCTTCTACTACTAAAAGTACTTGATGCAAATTTTTCATTTTGAAAAATATATTTTTTATTTTGTTTTGGTTCGGATTTAATGTTTATTGAAAATTTTCTTTTTTTCAAACAATTTTTTTATATCTTTACTGGATATTTTTTATTATTATTTTATATGTGTTTGATTCATATAACCATTCATTTTTGGGGTTTTACAAAATTATATAAAAGGCGAAGGGAGGAGTTGATGAGAGAATTGACCAGCCAGTCATAGCGTGTGGGGAACAAAGGAAAATCCCAATAATTAGGACAAATTGAGAAAGGACGTGTCTTTAAAAATAAAAATTTAACTAAATGATGCCATGCAAAGACATCTGCATGTATATGGACAAGACATCCCAACCCCTATTCCCTATAAAAAGGGGATTTAGATTGTCACTTAGATAAAACCAAAATATAATATGTGTGTGTGTGTGTGTGTTTCAAAGGGTTAACTTTATATTTTTATATATAAATTAATTCGTTGATTGTTACATTTAGTTTGTAAAATCCCAAATTGTTCATTTATTTGCAAGATTAATTAATTAGTTAGTTTTTTTTGTTCTCCGTGAATTTTCTCATTTTATAGAATATATGAATACAATTTAAATAAAACTCGACCAAATAAAACGAAAACTTATTTAGATAATGAAAATTGAATTTAAGATGAGATGAATATAACATAAAATTGAAAAAAAAAATTAATCTAAAAGTAATAGGAAAGAAATAAAAGAAAGACAACACAGCATTGTCTAGAGGAATCTAAACATATATTATATATATATATATATATATATATATATATATATTATTACAAATAGAAAAATGTCAATCAATTGGGGTTTGGTTATTGGTCGCTACATAGATTTCAACTAACAAAGAAGATTTAACGTTTTTGTATTTGATGCGTCCAATCAACTTTCAACACTTTGGACGCGAGAATGTTAGTTGACATGTTTCCTCGCGTACGTTCCAAATATACGTATTAATGTTGCAAAGTATCGCTACATTTACTCTAAATTAATTAAATTTAAAATATTTCCACTTAACAAAAGGATAGAGGAAAAAATTATCTTAAGGTTTCCTTGAAATCAGAATATGTAACTTAAAAAGATTGTCCGAAAGCTGAGAATATAGATATAATATACTTTATTGCATATATCGTGTAGAAAAATACAGAATTACATTTTTAAACCCCATTATTTCTTTACTAAAATCAAAATAAACTCTCAGCTTTGGAGGAAAGAATGATGTTTTAAATCTTAATCTATGAATATTAATTATAAATTTTTATAATATGTTTTTATTTTTTATTTTTACTTTTCGCTAAAAATAGAAAAAAAAATCTTTAATTCTAAGTTATTTTTTACTGAATTTGAAAACTTTGTCTAGAGGCGATAAAAGACCCAAACAATCTTTTGGATTAAAAAAAAAGATGGTTGGTACTACGAGGAAAATAATAAAATAAAAATTTATCTTTCTAAAAAGATCCCCAACAAAATAATAATGATTACTGTTTTGTGCGATAATTATGCCCTTATCACATGGGGGGATATGTCCAAAGGATTAGTTACAGATTGGAAATTATTATTGTGTATTTTGATATAACATTTACATAGCCCGCCTTAATGAAGTTTAGTACTTTGGATTTTTATATTTCGAATAAAGTTATTAATTATTCATTTTATTTTGTGAATTCAATTACGTATACCCGAAAATGAATGGACAAACATACAAAAGCTGCAAAGGAAAAGAGCAATGATACATGTGTTTCTAATCTATAGACTATACATACAGAGCTGCCTGCAGTGGCAATAATACAAATCCAATACAAAAAAAAACACAACAACATCGGATTCAGATCATATCTATGGACTGTCTGAATCTGAAACATCCAAAAGATCCGGAAAAGACATCGTTTCCATCACAGATAACGAATCTTTTAAGGGGTTAAGTTACAAGATCTTGACATCTCTTCAAAGCTCAAGCTGCAAGAGGCTTTGTGGATTTGCCTGATCTTCTCTTCAGAACAACAATCCATGTGACTGCTTCCAGGATCAATGCCAATCCTCCCAAGCTACCGATCACGACGATATAAGCCGTCTTGTAAGCGTGTTGCGGGTTCAAGATACTCAGACCTATCGAGATATCGGAGCAAAGTTTCTTTAAATGGAGTAAGAAAGCAAGAGAACTATAACAAATCTTAACCAAATGAAAACGAAATGGTATAATATGGTCACATATCGTTGTAGTAAAACCTTTGAAGACGTTGAAGATTCCGAGGGTGAGGATCGAGTATCCGACGCCGTGGTGGTAGACGTTCCAGTAGAATCTGAACTTGTGGTCCCTCTTCGGCCTCAATAGCAAAGCAAACATCTGACACAAAGACAAAGAGACAAAGGGGCTTTGGGTGGTCAGAAGAGAACAATTCCATACCAAGAACACGACAAAACCCTGATTTTTCATGGCCCAGATCGTGCCATTCTGAGACACATAACTCAGTTTGAGATTAATATCTCATGACGTGCAACCGACGGAACTCAAGAATCTAACCCTCATAAGCTTAGATCTTCAACTGAGAACATGGAAGTTCAAGGCAAAAACAAGTTGAAACGAAACCTTAACATCTACTTGAAACAGTTTCTTCTGTGACAAGAAATCCATCTATGTATGTATACATACCTGAATTGTAGCGAGGGAGAAGAGGGCAATGCCGATGTTGCGGTGTGTGGTGAACTGAATTCCCTTGGATTCGCTACCGAGCTTGAGACCGGTGCCCCAACCCGCAACACCGATGGCATAAGCCGAGAACTGACACAGAACATGGAGGTAAAACCACGCAGGATCCGCAGATTCGAACGTTCTAATGTACCTTGCAATTATGGCCCCGATTGGAAACAGAATTCCCCAGCTCACTGCGTTCAAAATCCCATGAATCTGCGAATTCACCAAAGATAGAAATCAATCATCAGCTTAAGCACCAAACCCAGATGGAGAATCGTCTTCTTTGGGCGGAAATACTAAAAAAAAAATGAGCACTTTTGAAGAATTTGAGAACAGGGTCGTCCGAAATTTCAGGAAAAATTGGAACTTTGTATGTTTTTTCCCGGATTTCAGTCTGGAATCTTGGACATTTAATGTTTGTGGTCAAAGGAGGTATCAACGACAAAACCCAGAGAGAAATCGTCGTCTCTCCAGAAAAAACCCGCCTGAAAATTCAGAATTTGGAAGAAATAGGAAACATATGGTAATCTGAAGTTCCACGAAAAATCCGAACTTTGAAGTATTTTCCAGATTTCAGAGTCTGAAATGTATAGAATTTTAATGCGAGTAGTCAAAAAGAGGCAAAATTTAGAGACTTACGTTTTTCCTCTTAACCCTAGAATCACCCTCGCCTCCACCGCCGGCGACGGCGCCGCTGTTTGCTCCGGACAGATCCAAAGTCCCCTTCGCGTTGAGGTTCGGCCCGTCGAAACCGTGCTTCACGATAAACCCAGTCGGAGTCAATCCCGGACCCACCTGCCAAACCTGGTTCACCTTCCTCTTCGCCGCCAAATCCGCCGGAATCTTCACCTTCGCGAAGATCCTCAACGCTTCGCCGCCTTCCTCCGCCTTGGTGTCCCAAACGTCAAACGCCAATTTCCCAGGAACGAGCGTCTGGTACGAGCTGATGTTCAGGGTCGTCACGGCGGCTACGCCGGATTTGGGGTCCTTGAACGCGACAAGGGCTTGAGAACCGGCCATTCCCTCCGCTGAGGGATTGATGGCCCATGCGATCCATCCGCCAGGCTTCGACGGCGGAGCAGAGAACACGACGGCGAGGGTTGAGTTTCCGGCGTCGTAGAAGAAGTGGAGATAGGCTTTGAGGTAAGGGAGGTCGAGGCAGTGAGGATACACGGCGTTACCGGAGAATGTCTGTGACGTGCAGGTGAGCGAGACAGACGGTGAGATTAGCAACGCCCACAGGCAAAAGAAGGAGAGAGAGATTCCGACGGGAGACGCCATTGATAGTGGATGTTGAAGTAACCGTAAAGTGTCTATTTGGCGGAATAAATAAGCTCTGAAGTGGTAAGAATTATTATCCTCTCGTTGCGCGCCTACGGAATTCCCGTGGACCAACCAATTGAAAATATCTATTTTTGGGGCAGTTTTAACTTTTAACTTGGACACAAAAAAAAAGGGGAAATGACACAGTGTTTAGAAACGTTTTATATATCTTTGCATATATATAAGCGCATCTCATTTAACAAAAATTGATAGAGAAACACATAAAATAATAATGGTCGTTAATACTAATACGTACTCCCTCCATTTCAATATAAATATCATTTTAGATTTTTGTTGTTTTTTAATAAAAAAATGTAATTTTATCTTTAATTAAAAATATCAAACTTCAATAGAGTATTAATGTGGATATAATTTAATAAAAATATATATATTTTTAATTTTTTTTTTTTAAAAAACTGTAAAAAACATTAACATCACATTTATATTGAAATGGACGGAGTATTTTTTATATCGATTTACCGATAAATAAACTATTGGATTGAATTTGGAAAAAAAAAAGAATTTCATGATAATACTAAATAAACAAAGGATTATCCGTTCGAGATCTACAAAACCCGAATTGAAAAACGATCGGATAATCGTCGCGATCACAATCGATCTCATCCCACCTAAATGTCCGATTTTTGGATGGCTGAAATAGATTAGGCCCAATACAAATCCAATGAGCATTTTTGGGCTTGGCTCAATAAATTTGGGCTTATTTCAAGGCTTTTTAACATAAAATATAGATATACTCGAAACCCATCTAACTTTTTTCTTCCTTTCTTCTCCACGCGCATTTAGGGTTTGTGGGTCGGATTATTTTTCCCGGAAATTCTGAAAGTTTCTGAGAAAATTCGCCAGTGTTACTGGAAAGTTTTGAGTGTTGAACGAGTTTGTTTTGACGGTATGTCAGAATTCGAGTTTTTTCTCCCGGGATTGCGATTATTTCTTGTTTTGATCAATTCAAATGGATATATATATATATATATAAGTCCGTCACATAATATATATACATATATATATATATATATAAGTCGGAGGAAATATCCGGGTACTCCGAAATTTATAAACCCGAGACACATATGTGGTCCATGATTATAATCATATATTGTATACCCATGTGTGTGTGTGGAGGAATGGACGGCGATGATCACGTGCCGTGAGCTTAGATTTGCATGGCTTTGAAGTTGAAACATTAATTAGTTTCCGCAACTACCTAATTTAATTTACTTTCTGATTAAACAATTCCTAATCAATAATTTATATAAATTAATTTAACACAATTAAAATGTTTTTCCTTTACTCCTTACTTAGAACTATTCAAAGCAACTTGAGTTTAAAATTGGATATTGGTTTTCAGTAAATCCTCTGCCACTAAAAAAGTTCAATTAAAAAAAAAGGTAAAAACATGACGTCGAATGATGTAACGCGTATTTTCATTCAATTATGTAATTAGATGGTAATTCCATCTATTTTTTTAATTTTATACAAATGTTTAGTAATTCTGACAAAGAGAGAAGGGAGGAGTGGGGTCCACTTGTCGTACGGAGAACCGGTGGCGCGTGTCGATTAGAGCAGAGCGCGTGGAGCAGTCGGAGTCGGAGAGAGCCAAAAGAGAAGCGTACATTCAATTCTGGACCCATTTTGTCCCCTCAATGCGACTCACCCTCGCATGACCATCTCTCTCTTCCTCTGTCTCCTCTCTCGAATGTGATCTTGGAGACTTCCTTCGAACCCTAAGATTTCACCCGTTTCACACGGTAAGTTCGCTGAATCCCTTTTTCTCTCTCTATATCTTTCTGTTTGCTTCCCGATAAGAATGGAAAAAACTTTTCCGGAATTCGAAGCTTAAATTCGGAGATCCTACAGCTCTCGTGTCGGGTAAGCCTTATGCTTCTTTGTCAGATTGAGCGGAGAGAGGGGGATCGTGGGGTTCCCCCTTTGTTCTGATCGGTTAATAGGATTTGTGTGTGTGGGGCTATGGCTTCTGGGTGTGATTGCAGGTGAATTTCTCATTCTCGGACTTTGTTCGCAAGAGAGGATATGAACAAAGAACACCCGCCTGAGCCGCTTGATTTCTTCATCTGGACAGTTGAGGTAATCCCGTATGATTATTGAATTCGACCATTAGGGTTTGAGGGAGTGGGGTTTTTGTTGTGTGAATTTACCTACTTCGGTGTTAGCGTAGTCTAGCGAGATCCGATTCAGCCGATTTGATTCAAAATTTGGTTGATTTGATCCCCGGTTGGATACGTATGCGTCGATTTCAAGTTTACTGATTGGGAGCTTGATTCACTGTTTTGGTATTTCGGTAGATCTTGAAGGGAAAAGGGACACTAAGACACTTCAATCGTGTATTCTTAACTGTAATGTATACATCATGCAACTGATTGAGGGAATTCTGAATGGAAAATCCCACAAGGTGATGGCTTTTTCTGGGTTTTACGGACTCGTTTGGCTGTTGCACCTGGTTCAGTGTTGGACTTTGCTTATTGTTTGAGGTGCCGTGTGGGGTCTATTGTTGTTTGATTTAGACTTGAAATAGTTTCACTCAGGTTATCAGTGTTTTCTGCAGTGATCGATTTCCATATAAATGAAAGGGAACTTATGAATATCTACTAGATACAGATAGATTTTAGTCGATTCTGGAAGAGTTTGATTACTCTTACAGCGAAGTTGGTCGTTGTCTGATGATGGGTTTTTGTTTGATCAAATGCCACTAAAGAGGACACACTTCGCATAATTACTCGTGATTCGTATGTACTTGTGGTCCAAAATGTCTTGCAATCGGTAAATTCCATTCTTTGTCAGGATGTTGGGTTGTGGCTAGAGGAGATAAACTTGGGAAGCTACCGTCAGATATTCAAAGAAAATGGTGTTAATGGGGAATATCTAGAGAGCATGTCTATGTTTACCACGGAACAGATCCTTCGCTTCATAAGGAGGTGTCACATGAAGTGGGGAGACTTCATTACCCTCTGCAAAGAGCTCAGACGGATAAAAGGTTCTTTTGCTTTACTCACATTTCTCCTACAAATGGATTTCTAGTTTATCTCAGTTTGCTGTACGGTTATGGCTGAGCAAAAAAAAATCGGATCTTGACAGTGGCTTGCTTGAAAGGTGAGCAGAATGTTCGGCGGCCATGGTGGGCGCCTTCTTGCCTCTCAGCAGTATTTGATAAGGCAGCCAAGCGCAACCGACAGTCTCGTGTTGTATCTCTCAAGCTGGAACCATAACAGGAACTCCGCTTTATGTACGTATTGCGTTTTTTTCTTCTCTTTTTTTTATGGGGTTTTCAGGGAAGAAACAAACCCACAAGGAAAGCTTTTCAGGCTCATCTTAAGTTTTGCAAGAAAAAAAAAAGAAAACGTGGTTTTATAGTTCCTCTGGCTTGTGCAATACTTTGTCATGATATGTAACCAAAGTCCAATATAATATTGATGATATTTCAAAAACCAAAGAAACAAAACAAAAGCCTAGAAAGCTTCCTAGATTAACCTTCAAACCAGATTCTTACTAGAATCGTCCTCCCATTTGTTTGCTTGTGTTGAGCTCTGCACGGGCGGCGGATCAAACACCCAATTGCTCGGGAGCTGATCCGATCCGTTGAACACAATGTTCTCCTGTGTCCAGTGTGGTGGACCGCCATAAAACCCGGGAAAAAGGCCATAACTTTCTTGCCTGCTTAACATCATTAGGGTTTTGATTGACTCCATGGTCGCTGGATCATGGGAATAGGAAACTGGTAAGCCGAGATGAGGCCATGGAAGAAACTGTTGTTGCTCAATGTGGTTGTAACTATAACCACACAAAGCTTGTTGGTTTGCCTCGGCCAGTGCCCTTTTCTGCCTTTTCGTCTCTTCCAAGAAGCCGACAAGGCCCTGTGCCTTGCGAATCTTGTCCTCAATTCTTCCCAGAATCCCGAACAGCTCCTCGTTCGAACACCCTCCGAGCTTCTCATCCCAAACACGGTATTTTGGTCGAATCTTGTTGCTATCCGTGTTGTTGTTCTTGCCTCTTTCCGGCAAGAAGTCATGTACTTGGAAAATTTTCCGGCAGCTGCTGGAAGCGGTGTCTCTGTATTTTCCAATGATGTCGTGGACCTTGTTCCCGTCCGTCGGCCAGGTCTCAGGTTCGGCCACCGTCTCTTCCTCCTCCTCGGCCGCAGCCTTGACGGCGGTCCTGCTGGGGCCGTAGATGATGAGACACACATCTACGCCACAAAGGGTTGAGAATTCTCTGGCTTTCTTCAAGAGACAAGCCTTCCTCTTCCTGTAAGTCATCACTCTCGTCTTTTCCTTCGCTATTCTCTCCATTCTCATCATCTTACGACCCATCCCCCTTATAACTATGGAGCTTCTCTTTCTCGTGTTTGTATGTGCATATATATGTGTGTGTATATATAGCGTGTATAATTGTAGTATACATATGGATACAAGGGTTTCCAAATATTCTCTAATTATTTTCTTCCTTGATAAATGGAAGTAATACACAAGAGATAGGTTATGAATATGGCAACTTTCTGTTTCTACATTCACGACATTCCAAACTGAGATTCGAAATCGGATATATTTTGTTATAGATGGGATGCATCTTTATTAATTAGTTTGGTCTGACAAGTTCTTAATGAAATTTGATTATTGTTTTTATATAATTAAAAAAAAGAATAAATGATTTTATTGAAATTATTAATCAATACAAAAAAAATCAATACCCTAAATCAAGCAATTAATAACGGTATGGGAAGATTTTGGTTACACAAAGATCTCTCCTTTTTGAATTTTGTTTACTCATCTTTCCCCTTCTAATGTTGCGGATGTTCTCCAAGTTGTTTTAGTCTCTTTGCCGAATAAAAATAATATATCTAAAAGTTCCCCCATAATCTGTCTTTTTCAAAATCAACCCCCTCTCTTCCCAAATCTCCAATCACAACCCTACGGAAAACGTAAGACGACATATAAAGCAGAAGAGACAACAAAGACTAAGCGTCGCTTTCGATTTTTAACGTAATTTCAGAACGTTCCTTCGTCAATCTCACTGGTGTGGGTAAAATTTTCAAATTTTAAAAGTAAGGGACTTGCTGGTGATAAGGGATTAAGTTTGGGGGCCTCGTTTTAACGCAATAATTGACAAATCAGCAGCGGTGACTTGCAAGTTGGGGTAAGAGGGAAAAAACAAAGAAGTCAAAGTCAACGTAAACTCGGAGGTGACCGGCTAATCAGGTCACATCGCATTTTCAAACCGGCAGCTGTATTATCCGTTAGACGCTTTTCCTGGCCAAAGACATTTTTCAAAAAAAAAAAACTAGTCTTGTTTTTTATTTGTCTAATTTGAAAGAAAAATGGAATTTGCAGTTGTCGTTCGCTTTCCCTTTTGTTCATTCCTCACTCGTCATTGATATCGATCTTCTTCTGCTTCAGCTGCCTCTCGAGGCACGCCCCTCGACGCCTCTTTGGTGAGCTTTTCGTTTTTCCGGTGCTTGGATCCTTCGGTTTCTTCCATCTCTCTCTTCTGTTCGGTTTGTGAGAAAATGAAGGATTTTTTTTTTTTTGGCTGATGTTGAGTGTCCAGACTTGTTCGGAAATCGCTGGTAGAGGAGTGGATTACTGTGATGATTGAGTTGAATTTCTGGATTTTAGGGTTGATTTAGATTTTTTTTTTTGTATTTATGCTAAGCTACTGCTGAGATTCTCCATTTGAAGTTTATGTTTGACTTTTCTTGCTTGTTCTCAGCAAACGATTTCTCAGGAAACTTTGCCTCGTGTCTGAATGCTTTCACTGTGTAGCATCTCTTTGGTTTTGCAGCTGCTTAAGCTGGATTCAATTTTGAGGGATTGAGTCCAGTCCATGCGATGCAATTTTATCTCTCGATGGGATTTGTAGTGACTACATCAGGTGTTTAGGGTTTTTCTGGGTTGTGAGTTACATATGACGCTTTGGACTTCAGTTTGTTTTGCGATGTTCGTGTTTGTCAAACGATGTTTCTGATGAATTCCGATGCCAAGTGAGAGACTTCTGACTATATTTCAACTCCGAATGTTTGATAGATCTATGATAATCGAATTGAAGTCTTGGATTCCTCATGGGAGTGCGTCTGCTTTCAAATTCTGTTGTGTTTGAAAGGTTCTTTTCTTGTCAGCAGCTTGCGGCAAGTCTGCAATTGATGTACTTTCCATTGGCTGCAGCATTGATTGATGGGCACATCGTCTGGGTCTAATCATCCTCACCAGATGTTACCTCCACGTCAGCAACTCCGAACTGGAGGGCTGCAAGCAGCGCTCTCACTTGTATCTTCGGATCCCCGCTTGTCACACGAAGGCCATGAGCCACGATCTAATTCTGATGTTGTGCGCGAGTCCCCGGCCGAGAGTGCCAGCTCTCAGGAAACTTGGCCAACTGCAGGTGCTTTAATGGTGAAGAAGACAGCTAACGAAAAGACAGAGCCTGATTCTCATGAACAACCCGTGAGTCGTCATATTTCCAGTGCAGATAAGGTTTCAATTAGGGACATAGCTAGGGAGAGAGTTGACATAATCTCTGAGAAAATGCATCGACTACCTGACAAGTTTCTTGAGGAGTTAAAGAATGGTCTTAAAGCTATCCTCGAGGGGAATGGAGGGCTGCAGATAGATGAATTTATGTTTCTGCAGAAGTTTGTCCAGAGCAGATCTGATCTGACTCCTAAGACGCTTATTAGGGCCCATCGGGTGCAGCTTGAAATCCTCGTTGCAATAAATACTGGAATCCAGGCTTTCTTGCACCCAAATATCAGCCTGCCCCAAACATCTCTTATTGACATCTTTGTATACAAGAGATGCAGGAACATAGCATGCCAAAATCAGCTCCCAGCAGATGATTGCACCTGTGAGATATGTACCAACAGGAAAGGTTTCTGTAACCTTTGCATGTGTGTGATCTGTAACAAGTTTGATTTTGCTGTCAACACCTGCCGTTGGATTGGCTGCGACTTGTGTTCCCACTGGACTCATACGGATTGCGCTATCCGAGATGGACAAATTTCCATGGGATTTTCTGCTAAAACTACATCAGGGCCTGGTGAGATGCTGTTTAAGTGTCGAGCATGTGATCGTACGTCTGAGCTTCTGGGTTGGGTCAAAGATGTATTTCAGCACTGTTCTCCAAACTGGGACCGGGAATCTCTGATGAAGGAACTTGATTTTGTGAGTAGGATTTTCCGTGGATGCGAAGATCCAAGAGAAAGGAAATTATTCTGGAAATGTGAGGAACTCATTGACAAGATAAAGGGTGGAATGGCGGAAGCAACAGCCACCAAATTGATATTGATGTTTTTCCAAGGTAAAAAAGACTGCTGCTTATAGTGGTTTATACAAGTTATTTCAGTGTTATGTAATCAGTTGGTGTAACTCATTTTGCATGCCTTGTCATTGTAGAAATTGAATTGGACACTCCGAAGAGCATTGAAAATGAAGGGGGTGAACGAGTGATTGCGCCTCAAGATGCTTGTAATCGAATTGCGGAAGTTGTACAGGAGACACTGAGGAAGATGGAAATGGTGGCGGAGGAAAACGTGCGACTGTTCAAGAAGGCGCGTTCGACTCTGGAGACTTGCGACAGAGAGCTTGAAGAGAAGGCTAAGGAAGTGGCGGAATTGAAAGTAGAGAAACAGAAGAAAAAACTGCAGATAGAAGAGCTTGAGAGGATAGTGAGACTAAAGCAAGCAGAGGCAGACATGTTCCAGCTTAAAGCTAACGAGGCAAAGCGCGAAGCCGAGAGGCTGCAGAGGATCGTTCTAGCAAAGATGGATAAATCCGAGGAAGAATACGTCAGTAACTATCTCAAACTTAGGTTGAGCGAGGCTGAGGCAGAGAAGCAATATCTCTTCGAGAAGATTAAACTGCAGGAAAGTTCTCGGGCATCTCACACCAGCGGTGAGGCTGACCCGTCACAGGTATTGATGTACTCCAAAATCCGTGATCTTCTTCAAGGGTACAATCTCTCTCCGAAGGTAGATCCTCAATCAAACCAGCGCCACCTTTTCTGATCAAATCCGTGAAGCTCCACCACAGTATGTTGTGCATTTTCAAGAAGTTCTCCCTCTCTCAATATATAGCTATGTAGGATCCTGCCTTACTTTAATGTCGGATATCTGGCAAATCCTGTATCTACTATGTCCTGTGTTTTTCATTCTATTAAGTTAATCGATGTAGCGTCTTAGTTATGCATGTATCACTAAGATCTGTTGGCTTCTTTGCAACTTTACGTGCTTTGCTTGTCACCCACAAACTGCAGATTCCGTTCTAATGCAACTGTTTCATTGTCCACTTGTGGTGTTTTTGATGTAGAGAGATCTCATTCCGGCATTCTTGTGCAAGTGAAAGAAGTTTGTAACAATAGAGAGCTCGAAACTTATTTGATTTTTTTCGTGCCCGTTTTATTCTTTAATTACCTTTCTAGTTTCTACATTCTGTGAGCTACATAACTGTTAGTAAGCTTTTATTTCTGGATGAAATGGAGGATCGGGGTACCGTCTGAAACTTTCTGGGAGGAAGAAGCTCAGTGCAGCGGGGCAGTTCTTCGCTGATGATGAAGGGGTAAGAACGGGATTCCTCCTCCTTTTTTCTTGTTCTCAGTTGCTCTAGAATGCTTTGCATGCAAATGGGATAACATGGCGTGAAAGGAACTCCCTGCAGATTGCTTACCTTCTTTGTTCTCTTTGGCAGTTAATATAACCGTGGAGCAAGACTCGTCAGTAAATTTAATGACGTTGCTGATTCCATGGCAGGATATCCGGGAATCCTGGCAGATATTGGGAGATATGATCCTGGCATCGTTAACGTAAAGCCCTAGTGTCCCTCTGGCCTTGGTTATGGTTAGAACCTGGTCCTGAGAGTTAGAAGGAACCATAGTTCGGTTGGGGAAACGAAGCATGTGGTTGATCATCAGCCATGCTGGAATGCTGTGGCTGAGGACAAAGGTCTGGAGATTGCCCAGATTGATGTCTGCTTGGGACAGATCGCTGTCGCTGGGCATCAAGAAGGTAACCTCGGTGCTCTTGAGGAAATCGGTGTTGTTGAGGAGCTGAAGAAGGATGACAAACCCGTGGTAGGATTGCCTTCTCATATCTGACATTGCTGCCATGAGATTGCTCTGGTTGTTCTGTCTCGTGGGTTCGGGTTCTGCGGAGGCGAGGATCGCGAGGAGAAAGAAAATCCACGGAGCCATTTCGGAAGCATGGAAAGGGTTCGAGATTGAAAACTTGCGAGGTGAAATTTATAGTCTTACAACGTCCGGAAAGGAAGGTCAGGTCAGGTCATGCCTTTGAGGACTTGACGCGGTGAAAGTGGTAACTCCACGCACGCATGAAAAAAATGGTTCGGTTAATACATTCGTTTAGCATTTTGTGTTTTTGATTAGTTGACGAGTGGCTGATGCGTGACTTTCTGGAAGAATTGATTAGGAAAATAAGTAAGAAATCCAAGTGAACTTAGCAAACCCTACGAATCTCAACTAACATACGGATACTTTGAGAATTGTATAATACATATATATATTGTGTGTATGTGTGTATGTATAGAATATTTTAATACCAACATTTTGTAGAACTAACAAATTATATCGCTTTGATCAATTAGAAGTAATAATAAAGAAGTCAAAACTAAGTAGTTTATGAATATTATAATTTTGGGTTAAAAATCTTGAAATTTGTCCTATAATTTTTTTTTTACAAGAAAAGATACAGACCCCGAGTTAGGTAGCACTTTAGAGAAGGGAGGGCCCACGTTAGACCGAAGGAGAGACATGTGGGCCATAAGATCAATCCAAAAATCGTTGAACTGAGACGATTTCTTTTCCATTCTCCAAAGTTCAAAACTTGCAAATTAAATAAAATTGTTCTTGTAATCATAATAATAATAGTACTGAAAAGTGATATAATACCAATATGCATAAGAAGACGTGGTCGGCGATGAATCAATAAACAGCACGCGCACCAAATATTTAAATAAATCAAATCTTACAATATCTTGAAAAGGGTTATTGAAGAGATATGAGATTTGTTATTTGTGATAATAAAAGACGAAGGTGGATATTTTAGACTCATTATAAAATTTAGTTAATTTTCACATATTTTTTTCATTTTATTTATTATGATTCATAAATAGTATGTACTAAATCTATCATTTATAAATAAAATAGATCGAATATATATATTGATAACTTGAAATTGTATATAAATTCTATGGTTACTGGTTAACGATTATCTATATATAATACTTGAAAACGCTTACTTTTTGTTTTAATAACATATGAACAAATGAATATTAATTTCTGAACCTTAAGTATCATTCCACACTAAATCCAAATGATATGAGGACCATATATGATATATCAACTTGGTATCATAATTTATTTTGTTACTCATTTACTCTATACAATTATTTTTTGTTACAATTAATTAACATAAAAGTAAATCCCTGGTTTTAAAATGTTTATTTATGGTTAATAATTCCGCTGTAAAATTGAGATCCCATTATGGCATTTGGTTAGTCTTGGGACCATCCATGTATGACCACAAAGAAACCAAAAAGTTAGCATGTTCCTCATTGGGTTTTGAAATTTGGGAACACCTTATTTACAATTTCACTTTGACGATAATTCAAAAACTTATATATTTACATGAAAAAATAAAATTTGATATAATTATATGAAGCTTTGATAAAGTTTTATGTGATGTTTCTAAAATAAAATACTTCAACATAAATTTGTAAATCTTTGAACCACTTTAGATATTATTCCAGTGAATTTTCAAACCCAAGACTTATAATATGGATAATTTAATTGTCTAATGTCTATGTGTCGGGTTGACTTATATATCATGAATTCAATTTTCAAACCGAGCAAGCATGCATAACTCTTGAACTGTGTGCGGGCATGTCTTGCACTTGCCTCCATTAAAGGAAATAAAAAAATATTTATAATATTTTATATACAGTTTTTTTAAATTTGATATTGGTTTTACTATAAAAACAGTTTTGAGGTTTGAGAAGATTATATATAAATAATTAGAACATGCATCCCGTTGATATCATTAACTTATATATATTATTGCTTTAAAACTTATATATATATATATATATATATGTATTCCATTGGGTCAAATATTATAAAAAAACTTATATATATAATATTGCTTTAAAACTGTAGGCAAATGTATACCAGATTCTTTGGCTGATTTTGGACAGAAATCTAACTTTCTGTTAATCTTTGTTTTAGACAGTTATTTTGACATGAAATGACTCATTTCTATTATCCTATGTAGTGTTTATGATAATTGGTAATTAGTGAGAGATTAGGCAATGATTAGATAAGTCCTTGCATGTGGGGGATTAACCCAATGTAAACCTAGGAAATATACAATATTGTTTTATTTTATTTATTTGTTATTGCACGCTTTAATCATCACAATTTCCCACTCCCATCATTTTACTTTACATTATACCCTTGATTTAAAAATCTATACGTTAATTTTGTTCACCATTTTAACATAATATTATATATTATATTAAATCAAATATCTAACGATAAATGGTTGAAGCGAAATAATTTATACCTTCGGAATTAGTTTTTAAAAAAACTAGTGAATATATGTATAATATAGGGATTATAACCATCTGTATTGATGAAAAATATTACACAGAAGAGTCAAGGAGAGCCATTCATCCCAATCTTAGAGGCCACGTCATCTTAATCTTCAAGTAACATTAAAGTATACGTTTATATATATATCTATATTGCATGTATATCTCTTTTGGTTTACAAAACGACAAAAAGAACATACACATGAATACATTTTTGTGAGAGCGATGGATGAGACTGGGAATGCTGTAGGGCCACGAACACGAAGATAGATTAATCACTTTATTTTCTTAAAACTTTATTATAATTTTTTATTTTAAATATAAGAAGGAAATATAAATATGAAAGAAAAGAATATTATTCAAATAATATAAACAAATAAAAGAAAAAGAACTGACCTCAACTCCGTTCATTTCGCATCTTAACATTTCCCCCTAAGGGACGATTAAATCCTCAAGTGTTACATTTAATTACAGAACTGCCACTACAAACACGCGTGAAAACTGACCAAAGTAACCTCGTTTCGCATTGTCAAAGACTCGAGATCAAGAATCTGGGCGAGGGTTAAATTTACGATTATACCCTTAGTTTTTCTTGTCTTTCTTGACTTTGGTTTTTCCTCCCCAATGGCCCCCTCGTCTTATGAAGTCAATCTTCTTCTCTTTCAATTCAATTTGATTCAAAGTGGCAGTACGAACTAAGCGTCGATATGATGATAATATCATTTTGTATACATATTCATGATCCATGCGTAACTCATGTCATGATTGATGTTCGCTGTTCACGACGTGTAGTTCGAGTTTTGAATCGTAGGTTTTGAAATGCATAGGGAGAAATGGTTTGGTCGTGGTCTTTCTGTGGAAGAGACATGACCACAGTGGTTATATCGTAAATTACACGGGCCCGAGTTTCTCTCTCTGATTATAAAAAGAAACTCCGTTTCCCTTTTGTCTTTCGGGCAACTCCACATGGGTGTCTCTCTCTCTCTCTCTCGGAATCTGATTCTTATGGAGCTTCAATACGGTTTAATCTTTTGTCGCGAAAATTCAGGTGGGTGTGTATCAAGTTTGGATTTTTTATGCCAACAAAAAAGATCTCTGCAGCTTAATCTTCAAGTCCTCTGTTCTGTTTCTTCCCAGTTTGTTCGTCCTAAACACGGGTTCTTTGTTGTAAATGAATTTTTAGCTTGCTTGAATATGATCGAGAATTAGTTCATTCCCATACCCGTATCGGGTTTTTGGTTAAACTTTCATGCAAAATCTCGGTTGCTGAACACCCATGAGATGCATTCTCAGACGCAAATCTGGATTTTGCAGAAACCGAACCGAAGCAAAGTGAATCGTTTTCCTTCTCGGTTGGGTTCTTGATCTTAGCTTATTGTTGGGTATTTCTGGTCCCGCGTTAAGTAAAACTGTCTGAATTTTGCTTCTACTCTGTTTTGTTTTTCCAGGGAAAATGGTGGCACGACCCAAGAACGCTAACTTTCTAGGGTTCTTGTAGTTTGTATCTGAATATAATTCAAGACATGTTTCCCTTCCTTTGAATTCCTCGGAATTGCAGCACATTCTGGATCTGCATCTGGTTTTGATGTGGGTTTGGGACTCTGTGTTGGATCGTTTAGATTTAATTTTCATTTCCGTGATCAGATTCTTCTAAATCACCGGCTGATACCAATCTTACCAAGTTGTCCGTTTGTTCTGCAGATTTTTTCCTTGTCGGTATCTTGCAAGTAGGGTTGGTTCAGTGATTCTGTAACACTGTTGCTGCTTGAATTTGGACAAGATTAACCTAGTTCAGTGATGGTTCTGCAATCTCAGATACCGGATATATCAGATATGTCGACGTTCCAACCGTTAGATAACCAGTTTAACTACAATTCTTCTGCAAAGCTTAGGTACTTACCCGTTCAGAACCCTCGTAAACGGTATTGCACGCTCGAGTCATCGGCATGTAACTTAGCCGGGACCGATTCTCCACAGAACAACTCTCCAGATGATGATGATGACGATGATGATGGTAAAAGCTCTTCATTGAGCGGTTCTTGTGTGACTAATGATGTCAATGACTTGAGGCACAAGCTAAAGGAGCTCGAGACTGCGATGCTAGGGCCGGACCCTGACTTCATTGATTGCCTTGATTCCACCGATTCCACGCCTTGCCAAGAGATCTACAGTTGGAGATCGACGTATCAGGCTATCGCAAGACGGGATCTAAGAACAGTCCTTGTGTTTTGCGCGAAAGCAGTGTCAGATAATGACCTTTTGATGGCTCAGTGGCTGATTGATGAGCTGCGCCAGATGGTTTCTGTTTCTGGTGAGCCTATCCAACGGTTAGGAGCTTACTTGCTAGAAGGGCTGGTGGCTCGTTTATCCTCATCGGGTAGTTCCATATACAAGTCGCTTAACTGTTGCCCCGAACCAGCGAGCACCGATCTTCTCTCATATATGCACATTCTCTATGAAGTTTGCCCGTATTTCAAGTTTGGGTATATGTCGGCAAATGGAGCCATTGCTGAAGCCATGAAAGAGGAAAACCGAGTTCATATAGTTGATTTCCAGATCGGACAAGGCAGCCAGTGGGTCACTCTAATTCAGGCTTTTGCAGCTAGGCCCGGTGGCCCTCCTCGGATACGTATAACGGGTATTGATGATGTCATGTCAGCATACGCTCGGGGAGGTGGCCTGAGCATCGTAGGGAACAAGTTTGCCAAACTGGCAGATCAGTTCAAGGTCCCGTTCGAGTTCAATGCGGTGCCTGTCTCAGGATCCGAGGTTAAACCTGAAAACCTCGGTATCCGACCAGGTGAAGCTCTTGCTGTCAATTTCGCCTTCGTGCTTCACCACATGCCTGACGAGAGCGTGAGCACTGAGAATCACAGGTAAAGGTCTAAACTTTCAGACCCACAAATCAAGAACCGACCCAAAACCAGATCAAGAACTGATGTCACTGTCACTGTATGATAAAATCGCAGGGACAGGTTACTGAGAATGGTGAAAAGCCTCTCCCCGAAGGTAGTGACCCTTGTAGAGCAAGAATCGAACACGAATACTGCGGCTTTCCTCCCGAGATTCTTCGAGACGATGAACTATTACACTGCAATGTTCGAGTCCATAGACGTGTCGCTGCCACGGGGCCACAAGCAGAGGATCAACGTCGAGCAGCACTGCCTGGCGAGGGACGTGGTGAACATAGTGGCATGCGAAGGAACAGAGCGTGTGGAGAGGCACGAGCTCCTGGGGAAATGGAAGTCGCGCTTCGAAATGGCGGGTTTCGCTCCTTACCCTTTGAGCTCATTGGTGAATTCCACCATTGAGGGCCTTCTCAAGAACTACTCCGACAAGTATCGGCTTGAGGAGAGGGAGGGAGCGTTGTTTCTAGGCTGGGGAAACCGCGACCTGGTCGCGTCCTGCGCCTGGAAATGAGACAAAGCTCTTCGTTCGGACCATACTTGGGCTGTTGTTGTAACCCTCTTTGGGTTTCTTCCCTTTTTCCCAGTTGTGATAAAAAAAAAAAAGTGTTTCATATGTTCATATGTGTACGGAACTGATCGAAATAGAAGTTTTTGGATTTACCTTGTGTTTCATATATATATATATATAGGTATGTAATAAATGTTCTCCAAGAAGCAAAAGGGCCGCCAACTCCAACAAGTTTGGAACTCGGCAACATGAATAAAGATAAATAGATACCACTTAATATATCATAGTTTATACATTAATTACTAATACTCTCCATGGATCATCCCCTTAAATAGGAAAAAAAAAACATTAATTTCTAAAAACAGGAAACGCACACCATGTCAAAGAGTTCTCCACATCCCTCGTTCTATTTTTTCACATGGGAACCTAACCTAATAATAGCATTCCGAAAAATGAAAAGAGTGTGTGGTCGTTCACCTTCTCCTCGCTCCTCTATAAAACGGCCCCCCTGAACTCATCAATCCGCAGAAAGAGAGGAAAACACAAAACGAAAGGAAGAAGAAAAAGAAAAGAAGGTAATAAAAATGGTGGGGTTGCGGAGAACAAGACTGGTGGTGCTGATAGCAGTGGCACTGGTGGTTAACGCCGTCACAGCTGCCGACGCCGCCGTGGTTAACGTTAGAGCCTTAGGAGCCAAGGGCGATGGCAGAACCGACGACACAGCGGTACTAACCTATGCTATATAGTATACACACACACATATATATGTATATGTTCTGAACGAGCTAGTTGTGTGGGATGGATCATATACATATACATAGGCGTTTGCGGCTGCATGGAAGCAAGCGTGCGGAGCCACGGGGAAGAGCACTATAACGGTGGGAAAGGGAGAGTATCTGGTGACGAGAATTGATTTCAACGGACCGTGCAAAGGCCCTGTCACAGTGGAGCTGCTGGGGAATCTGAAGGCGCCGGCCGAGGTCACCAAGACCGAAGCTCATGGCGGATGGGTCAACTTTGGAAACCTCGTCGACTTCACTCTCAACGGTCACGGCTCTATCCTCGACGGCCAAGGCGCTCTCGCTTGGAAGAAAAACGACTGCGCCAAGACCGGCAAATGCAACAACCTCCCCATTGTATGTATATATATATATATATATATGTTCTCTCTCTCTTTATATATATATACACACACATACGCATATACACGAGTCCAGGGTGAGTGATTTTGCATATATACGATCTGTAACAGAACGTGAGGTTCACGGGCTTGACGAACTCGAGGATAAGGAGCATAACATCGTCGAACAGCAAGTTGTTCCACATGAACATCCTCAACTGCAAGAACATCACTCTGGAGGACATCGGCATAGACGCTCCTCCCGAAAGCCTAAACACCGACGGAATCCACATCGGACGCTCCAACGGAGTGAACCTGCTCGGGGCTCACGTCAGGACAGGTGACGACTGTGTCTCCATCGGAGACGGAAGCGAGAACCTCGTCATCGAGAACGTGAGATGCGGCCCTGGACACGGAATCGCCATAGGAAGCCTGGGGAGGTATCCGAACGAGCAGCCGGTGAGAGGGGTCCATGTGAGGCACTGCACCATCAGCAACACCATGAACGGTGTCAGGATCAAGACATGGCCTGCCTCCCCCGCCGGTATTGCCTCCAACTTGCATTTCGAGGACATCGTCATGGAAAACGTCGGAACCCCCATCCTCGTCGACCAGGAGTACTGCCCTTACAACCACTGCAAGCGCGGGGTGTGTATAATTCATAAACCGACACACATATCTTTTCTTGATATATAAGGATAGATCGATGAAAGTAACAACATATATACATATCATGATGGGTTTTCTGCTGTGTGCAGTCGCCGTCGATGGTGAAGATTTCGGACGTGAGCTTCAAGAACATAAGAGGGACATCGTCGACGAAGACAGCGGTGAAATTGGTGTGCAGCAAAGGAGTGCCGTGCAGTAAGGTGGAGCTCTCCGACATAAATCTGACTTACAACGGCAAAGACGGACCTGCTGTCTCCGAATGCGCCAACGTCAAGCCCATTCTCTCCGGCAAGATCATCCCCGCCGCCTGCACCGCTCCTCACAAACCCCTTGCTTAAACCCCAAGCAACCTTGCCTGTGGAATGGGTGATCTATCTAAAGTTTTGGCCTCTCTATATATTGAATGAGAAGATGCTAATAATATAGAGGAGAAAATTCTTTTATTTATTTAATATAAAGTTAAATGTTCATTCATTCTCATCTTATGAGTTGCGAATACAAGATTGATATACTAATGCATTTTGCGATTCTGTGGAGACAAGGCTATATATATGTTTTGTAGGATACAGCAACAACAGAGGTTAAAAAAAAAATACTCATATTGGCCCAAACAACAAATTATTAAAATAAAATAAAAAAATAATAAGTTTCAAATTTCAGTGTCTATAATTTAAAATTTTTTAAAAAACTACTAAATGTCAAGAATGGGATTCGAACCCATGCCCTTTCGGACCAGTACCTGAAACTGGCGCCTTAGACCAACTCGGCCATCTTGACTGTTGAATCCTTGCGTAATAATTATATTATGTTTTAAAAAAGGATAAAACTTTTCCTGAAACCAAAAAAATGCATAATGTAAAATAGTTAGTGTAGGATGAAAGTGTATACAAGCAGTAAAAGCTGGATCGAGGCCACGTGATCAAACTCAGGAGAGATCGGTCCCTGCAAAGCTCCCGTTGAGGTGACGGCAATTCAATGGCACAAAACCCTAAATCGATGAACTTTCTTAACTAACACGTTACCGAGTTTCCTTTTTGGGTTGCGGCGGCGGTGTTAAAACCTTGAATCAATCCTATTTCAATTTTCTTTTCTAAAGTTGAAAGTTTTGAATTTTTTTTTCTTCTAAAGCCAACTCGAAACCCTAATTTCCAAAAAAAAAAAAACATTTTGAAACCCATCGTTCGCCCTCGTCGTCACCCTCAACCCGTTCGGGGCACCTTAGAAACCAGAGGTCGGGCCTTTCGACAGCTACAGAGCCGTACTCGTCCATAAACAATTTTATCAAAATATATTCAATACGCAACTAAACATTAGAAAGGAATCTCTCACAAAGCATGTAGATGCTAATAATAATAATAATAATAATAATAAAATGTTTCTGTAAAATAAACAGTACACAGAGACAAAAACGAGCTTGTGTTTTTGCAGAACACATACAAACAGAGAACAAAGAATCTGCAGAAAGAGACGTGGCGTGGCTAAAAACTTATTCTTCTCTTGAGGGTGGATCCTCTTCCTCCCACGTCTCTCGCACCACCAACACAACAACCAAAAAAACCCAAACCCAGAAAAGACAAATCTTCATCTGACACAATCTGCCTCAAATCCCGGCATAATCCCCAGGAAGAGGGGAGAAGTCGAAGACTCTTAACAGCCAGGTAACCCAATGACAGGATCCTAACCTTTTTTTTTTCCTTTTTCTTTTGTTTTTTTTTTTTCATCTCTATATGCATCGCTGCCTCTATGGAGAAGCACATGCAGTTCTTTCTGAAACTATCCAGCAACCCGATATCACCTCTCAAACACGAAGGCAACACAAGAAAAAAGGCCTAGAGGGAAAAAGAAATTCGAAAACCAACCAGCGACACAAAAATGCTCAGGTAGTTTCTATGCCTAAGGGTTCAATCTTTCTTTGTTTTGTTTACCAGAAACAGAGAGACAACTCTGGTTAGCTCTAAAGATGGCGAAGAAGATTCGTTCTGTGGGCGGCGGGGTGTATATGGAAAGGATGTATAAGATATTGCCGGGAACCAGAAGTTCCCGGTGTTTCGCCTACTGTATTGAGGGTAGAACCGAAAGGAATGTAGTAGAGGTACGTGAAAACAGCGGAAAACTGAGACAGAGCCATCGAGACCACAATGCGTACGTGGGATGAACACACACGCCTTCCATCATGTTCCTGAGAATTTCACAAATACAAAAGTTTCCTTAATCTTTCTTCCATAATCCGACAAGCATTTCTTGTATGCATGCAAAAGAATCTCCCTAGCTGCCAAATTCTACAACGGAAAAATCTCATATAAATACACGAATTTTACAAGTTCATGTATTTTTTTTTTTTTATGGAAATTTAAAAGCTGATGACTTTGTTACAGGAGGCTGGTGTGCAAATAAAGTTGTGATCCTGAGGAAAAGTTTCATGGCATCACCTAAGCATAACACTACATGAGCTCAAAGAAACTCAGAGAGTAGTAGTATCTTGAATGACTTACCTCTGTTTGGTTGTCTCTTGTTAACACTGAAACTACCAACATAGCCCGGGGAGGAGCTTCTAGCTGAAACATCTGAAGGAGGAGCACCTCCTCCTATCCCATAGCCAAAGGATCCAGAGCCGTCTCTCTCAGAAGTTGGTGATCTCCATGTCGGATCACTATAAAAATCTGCAAGAGCTGCATCATAACCACTGCCGGAAGAGAACGAAGAAGCTGGCGCCATACTAGTTCCCGAGTTTCTTCCATACCCTCCTCCTGTTCCCAACCCAAAACTTGATTCACCATTGCCTCCATACCCGAACTTGGCATTGTCGCCAGTGACGCTATTTCCCGCACCTTGTTGGCCGGAAATTCCAGGACCCCAATTGACTCCGGAACTGCCAAAAGGACCACTTAGCGTGTTCCCGCTGGTTGATCCGACATATGAATTGGAACCTGTGTTGGTGTTGCTGGTATTCCTATAGTTAAGTCCTTCATTCCCCCATAGATTCCGTGTGACCGAGCTGAAGAAGGATGAGTTTCCTCCATCATAACCAACAGCAGAGCCAAACCTGTTCGTGTTACCAATATAGTACGGACTCATCCCTCGATCATAGTCAACATTTCCACTAAAATTTGCAGTACTGGTGAATCCAGCGGGCATTCCCTGCTCAAAGTTCATACTCAAACCATAGCCAGAACCAAAAGGTGCAAAACCACTCCGTCCACCTGTAACTGGACCGAAGCGACCATCCATTCTAAGTCCGTAGCCTCCAATTGCAGAAGGATTATATCCCTGAGCATATCCGTTAAGGAGGTTATTGACCCGATTAACACCATAGTTGTAACCTCCCACTGGACTGCGACTTGGACCTGGTGATAACTCCTTAGGAACAGCTCGTTTAACCTCAACCATTTTACCGTTAAGTTCATGAAAGGTCTTGAGCAATACTTTCTCCACAGCCTCCTCATCTTCATAAGTTATGAATCCGAATCCTCTAGGCCTTTGGGTGTTGTGGTCATACATAACAACAACATCGGTTGTTGTCCCAAACTGTTCAAAATACTTTCTGAAATCACTCTCCGTAACTGAGGATGGTAACCCTCCGACAAAAATCTTCCTTGTGCGGCCTGGACCGGGAGAACCTTGTACGCTACTGTGATTGCTTCTACTTACAATGTTCTGGTCATCTCTAGGAACTGCTTTTTTGGCCTCAACCTGGAACCATCAAGAGCTTGGCAATGAAAAATTAAGCTCAAATCTCACATCAAGTCAAGGAAGAAGACGCAAGTATTCATTCAATACTTTCACATTACCATAAACAAAAATAAACACTAGCACTTGGTTCATTTTGTACTGCATCTGCTAATTATGGGGGTATAATGCCATGTGATGGACCAAGGAAACTTCAGAAACAAGTTACATTACATGAATCAACACCTTACCATTCTCCCATCGATATTGTGCTTCTCCTTTATAACTCTATCGGCAACGGCTGGATCAGCAAACACTACAAACCCGAAACCACGGGCGCGTCCGGTGGTACGATCCTTCATGATCACTGCCTCTATCACTTCCCCGAAGCTACTGAAATACTCCTTGAGACGTTCCTCATTGGCGTCCCACGATATCCCACCGATGAAAAGCTTCCCATTATCCGATTGCATTTTTTTGCTGCTTCTTATGACCAAACCAGACAGCAGTTTCGCAGCTGGTAAATCGATGAAAGGGTCAAGACATTTGCAGATCGAATCTACGGTAGCAGCTATACTTTTCCAACATACAAAAGATGAACCAGATTCAAGAGCGAAACCAAAACGTGAAATCGGGACAAAGGCAATACCTTTGCGATACGGAAATCAATCAGAAACGTTGATTTAGTATCTGGCAACGATGCAAAAACCTCAACGGATTCAACCCAGGAACAACAGATCCTTCGTCAACCGATAAACGAAGCCAGAATCAAGCCAATCTTCCAGATAATTGATCGGGAAACAAGGAGCAAATAAAGCAGATTTCAGTCCCAAGATATGCAATGAACATCAATCCAAATCCCAGACTGGCATAAGATCAGAGAATAAAATCCAGACACGATCGAAAACCCAACAATCAGACCAAACCCAGATGCCAAATCTCGCCAAGAAACACAAAGATCTGAAGAGGCACCAGATTTGAACAGAAGGCACGATTAATCCTGCCCTTCCCAAGAAAGAAAGAAACTGATTTTGGGAGGGGTGAGGGGGAGAAACCGATAGTAGAAAGCAAATTATCCGGCTTTTTTCAATCAGATTCAACCCGATTTAACGCAATTTCAATGGCGTCAATAAAAACGATTTTTTTTTTTGGCAACGCACAGCGACGCGCTCTAGATAGAGAAAGAGAGCAGCATATGTTTTAGGGAGAAAGACGAAAGCTTAGCTCGGTTTGGTGGAAGGAGAAGATATCATCTATATATATGTATACATATATATATATATATACATGGCTCTGTAAATACAATACAATAAAAATTTATGTGCGTATGTAAGAAATGGGAAGGTTGGTAATTTCGCCACAATTTATTACATTAAAAAATATTTTTCTGTGGGAAAAAAATTAATAATTCTCGTTGAGGAAGACGATGAATTTGGAAAATTTAATATTTCAAAATAAATTATGAAAAATAGACAACATAAAAAATTTGTCCTAATTTTGTGTGTATTTTTTCTCTTGTGGATCGGATGACAATTTGTTCGCTCGTTTTGATTCCCGTTTTTGTGCCACATCATAAACAAAGAAGAGAGCCCACATAAGGCCCTTTGGTCGTAGGCCTTAATGCTCTATACGTATACATGCACATTCTTGAGTATATTTTAGTGTTTTTTTTTTTTTGGGGTTTTTCAGATTACATATATTCAATTTTTATATTAGTTTTTGTTTGATTTATTTTTTTAATTCAATTTTTTAATATTTGTATTTTTAAATACCTTTCGTTGATAGCTTTTATATTTGATCCATTAGAATTCTATTGACTTCAAAACAAAAATTTAATTCCATGGAACACATATATTAATTACTAACTATGCCCTCAAAATCATGTCTACACAATTCCAAATCTCTAAATACTCCTAGTATATGATGATAATGTATGTTTTTTCAATATTCTAATTTGGTTTTTATTTACCTCTGACATGAATTCAGGATAAAAAAATTTAAATGCATTAACCGCCTAAAATAAACGTATTGCCTTTGATGTAAACGAGCTTATGCATCATCGTTATTATATCTCTTATTGACTAAGGACCACTAGCTTAAATGATATTTAATGTAAAAATATTCTAAAAGTGATACGATCAATGTGAAAGGTGTGTTCTAGATGGATTTTACAGATAAATCAGAAAATAGAAAAATTATATATATATATATATATATATATATATATATTTCATTGTCGTTCAGTGATATTAATCTTTTTACAAATTTAATTAAATGCCAAATCGAAGCTATGCAAAGACAAAGCTTTTGTTTGCAAGTCTAACACTCTGCCGGAGGCAGAGGCTTACCAACTTTCACAAATCTTCTGTCTATGAAAGAGAGTCCGCCACGTGCAAAAATTAATTAAAAACTCTCTCTCTCAAAATATTTTCCCTCCAAAATTTGAACATTTTCAGACCTCCCTCCGGAAAAAGAGTGTCTTTTTCTTTAAAAAAAAAACAAAGCCTAAACGAGGAATCTTCTCTTCCAATCTTCTCCCGTCTTCAATCCCTGGATCTGTGTGTTTATATATATACACCCCTCCGACGAGGGCTCCTTCGCTTCGTACCAAAAACACGATTCGAGTTTCTATTTCTCCGATTTCTGTTTTCCTGATCTTTGAGGTTCTCGAAAGCTGGCTTCCATGGCGTCATTCAAAGCTTCGCTTTTGCTCAGTTCCATCGACGGTGAGTGTTCCGGAGATGGTACTTTCGGACAGAGACGTCGTGGGTCCGGTTCGGTTCATGTTATTATGGGTCCCATGTTCGCAGGGAAGTCCACAGCTCTGCTCCGCCGGATCAAGTCGGAGATCAGCGACGGCAGGTAAATTTCGCAGTAACTGTATTGGTTTTCCCCAGATCCGTGATTTATTCGACCTTATCTTTGCTCAATTTTGATGGGAATGGTTCGGAGGGTTTATGTTATTTGGGTTTGTGTTACGTAGAAGCGTTGCGATGATAAAATCGAGCAAGGATACGAGGTACGCGAAGGATTCGGTTGTGACACACGATGGGATCAAATTCCCTTGCTGGGCCTTGCCAGATCTTATGTCTTTTACTGAGAAGTTTGGAGATGATGCTTATTCTCAGGTATAAGCTGCGTCCTTGGATCTGCATGATCAGAGACTTATTATATCAGTTCTTGTATGCCTAGTTGTTGGGAGATTGTTATGGACGTGATTAGTCTTGTGACGAGGTTAGATCCATGCATTGTATAATTCCATGGGAATTTGGGTTTAAACGCATGATTTTGCTTCTCCAGTGTCTCAATTTAGAATATTTAAACCAAGGATTTGTCTTTTTTCATCATTGTTGGCAGCTTGATGTGATTGGCATCGATGAGGCTCAATTCTTTGGAGATCTTTACGATTTCTGCTGCAAGGTTGCGGATGAAGATGGGAAAACAGTGATAGTGGCAGGCCTAGATGGCGACTATTTGAGGTGCTACTTGCTGTTGGCACTGACTGATCCCAAAATCCATGTCTTTCTCTTGATTCTATTTTCCAAATCCATCGATAATTTTGCTTCTGTTTGGCTTTTCTACTGATTGGATGCGATCTTTGGTTCCACAGAAGGAGCTTTGGTCCTGTTCTCGACATTATACCGATAGCTGATACCGTGACAAAGTTAACTGCCCGTTGTGAGCTTTGTGGCCAGAAGGCTTTCTTCACACTAAGAAAGACCTGCGACACTCAGACGGAGCTGATAGGGGGAGCTGATGTCTATATGCCTGTCTGTCGCCAACATTACATCAATGGGCAAGTTGTCATCAAAGCAACAAAGGAAGTTTTGGACAATGACAAAGCCGAAACTGAATCCTGCGTTGAGATGGTTGTGTAGAAATGAACTCTAAACGTTGTTGCAGTCGTGATCTGCTCTTATAGTTACTTATGGTCTGTCTTCGTCTTCTTCTGATCGCCGACGTTTACTTTTTTTACTGTCTTGTGTATGTACAGTAAAATATGATGAATGCAAATGAAATTTACTTCTCTGCAAGCTGTTTCTGATATTTCGTTTCAATAGCTTTTTTCAGGAACATATTTTCGTTCTCTGTGAAACAAAGGTTACGGATGCAGTGAGTGATACCAGATTTGTTGGCCACCACTCGGTTCGCCTCCTGATCTTCCTTCAGACCCAAGAAATTCGGCCCGTGACATTGGATGAAAAGGGTAACCATCTGACCAGTAAAGTCAGCTACCAGCTCGATCTCGCATAACTGAGCCTCTCTTTTTTTGAGGTATTTGCTCTTCGAAACTAGAGGTTCTTCAGAGCAAAAAGAACTAACATTAGGTAAAAACTGATTTGTGCGATCGATTGCAACTGACCAAATATAAATATTTTGTAATGTAATCCAGTTCAACAGTCAAGATGGCCGAGTTGGTCTAAGGCGCCAGTTTCAGGTACTGGTCCGAAAGGGCATGGGTTCGAATCCCATTCTTGACATTTAGTTTTTTTTAAAAAAAATTTAAAATTATAGACACTGAAATTTGAAACTTTTTTTTTTTTTGATTTTTTTAAATAATTTGTTGTTTGGGCCAATATGAGTATCTTTTTTTTTTTTAAACTCTGTTGTTGCTGTATCCTACAAAACATATATATATAGCCTTGTCTCCACAGAATCGCAAAATGCATTAGTATATCAATCTTGTATTCGCAACTCATAAGATGAGAATGAATGAACATTTAACTTTATATTAAATAAATAAAAGAATTTTCTCCTCTATATTATTAGCATCTTCTCATTCAATATATAGAGAGGCCAAAACTTTAGATAGATCACCCATTCCACAGGCAAGGTTGCTTGGGGTTTAAGCAAGGGGTTTGTGAGGAGCGGTGCAGGCGGCGGGGATGATCTTGCCGGAGAGAATGGGCTTGACGTTGGCGCATTCGGAGACAGCAGGTCCGTCTTTGCCGTTGTAAGTCAGATTTATGTCGGAGAGCTCCACCTTACTGCACGGCACTCCTTTGCTGCACACCAATTTCACCGCTGTCTTCGTCGACGATGTCCCTCTTATGTTCTTGAAGCTCACGTCCGAAATCTTCACCATCGACGGCGACTGCACACAGCAGAAAACCCATCATGATATGTATATATGTTGTTACTTTCATCTATCTATCCTTATATATCAAGAAAAGATATGTATCGGTCGGTTTATGAATTGTACATACCCCGCGCTTGCAGTGGTTGTAAGGGCAGTACTCCTGGTCGACGAGGATGGGGGTTCCGACGTTTTCCATGACGATGTCCTCGAAATGCAAGTTGGAGGCAATACCGGCGGGGGAGGCAGGCCATGTCTTGATCCTGACACCGTTCATGGTGTTGCTGATGGTGCAGTGCCTCACATGGACCCCTCTCACCGGCTGCTCGTTCGGATACCTCCCCAGGCTTCCTATGGCGATTCCGTGTCCAGGGCCGCATCTCACGTTCTCGATGACGAGGTTCTCGCTTCCGTCTCCGATGGAGACACAGTCGTCACCTGTCCTGACGTGAGCCCCGAGCAGGTTCACTCCGTTGGAGCGTCCGATGTGGATTCCGTCGGTGTTTAGGCTTTCGGGAGGAGCGTCTATGCCGATGTCCTCCAGAGTGATGTTCTTGCAGTTGAGAATGTTCATGTGGAACAACTTGCTGTTCGACGATGTTATGCTCCTTATCCTCGAGTTCGTCAAGCCCGTGAACCTCACGTTCTGTTACAGATCGTATATATGCAAAATCACTCACCCTGGACTCGTGTATATGCGTATGTGTGTGTATATATATATAAAGAGAGAGAGAACATATATATATATATATATATATATACCTTTGGCATTAGCCGCCATGAGCTTCGGTCTTGGTGACCTCGGCCGGCGCCTTCAGATTCCCCAGCAGCTCCACTGTGACGGGGCCTTTGCACGGTCCGTTGAAATCAATTCTCGTCACCAGATACTCTCCCTTTCCCACCGTTATAGTGCTCTTCCCCGTGGCTCCGCACGCTTGCTTCCATGCAGCCGCAAACGCCTATGTATATGTATATGATCCATCCCACACAACTAGCTCGTTCAGAACATATACATATATATGTGTGTGTGTATACTATATAGCATAGGTTAGTACCGCTGTGTCGTCGGTTCTGCCATCGCCCTTGGCTCCTAAGGCTCTAACGTTAACCACGGCGGCGTCGGCAGCTGTGACGGCGTTAACCACCAGTGCCACTGCTATCAGCACCACCAGTCTTGTTCTCCGCAACCCCACCATTTTTATTACTTTCTTTTCTTTTTCTTCTTCCTTTTGTTTTTGTTTTTTTGTCTCTTTCTGTGGATTGATGAGTTCAGGGGGTCCGTTTTATAGAGGAGCAAGAGAAGGTGAACGACCACAAACTCTTTTCATTTTTCGGAATGCTATAATTAGGTTTAAATGTGAAAAAATAGAACGAGGGATGTGGAGAGAAATCTTTGACATGGTGTGCGTTTTCTGTTTTTAGAATTTAATTTTTTTTTCCTATTTATGGGGATGATGATAATTAATATAAACTATGATATATTAACTGGTATCTATCTATCTATCTATCTATTTGATGTTGCGGAGTTCCAAGCTTCTTGGAGTACTTTTCGTATGGCGCCGTCTCGAAGAACTTCTGAACGGCGGCTCGGAACAACTTACGACAAGGCTCGAGACAAAACGTGCACGAGTGTGTGGGATTGAACTCTGGACTTATCCTATAGGAGATCTCCACGTTTACAGATTCATATACTAACTTTAAAGTTTTTTTTATAGTTTTTGTTTACATTTGATTAGTTTTTCAATCGAGAGATAAAAAAAAATTGCTTATTTAAAAACTACGAAGTCTTTAAATTATAAAGTTACATCGAATCATATACTAAAATTTTTAAAGCTATAGTCGAAATCTTCTATATAAATCGGGGCATGAATCTTTGTACGTAATAAATAAATAAAATTAAGCGCTTATTGTTCGACAATGTAAAACTAACTATTTTTTTTATTGGTGAAGCACTGACTAAAATTTAACATAGATATGTTCGAAATATTTTGTAAATATTCTCCGATAAATATGATTTAATACAGATGTTTAAAATCTAGATTTTGTACATGATGGACTTGCAATTTCGCGATGGATAAATATAAAGATATAAAGGATCGGTAATTCTAAGGAATTATGTTTAAATTAGCCATTGGTTAATCCAATTTACCTATAAACACAATTAAATAAGATATATTTTCAAGATAAACTACAAACAATATAAATATGGATTTATTTCTGAAAATGTTACTAATTATATTGATGCATGCGTTTTATCATTTATAGCGATATCCGCTCGGATACATGTACTCGAACGAAGCGTACATAAATGCATGTTACATGCAAACAACCAAACCGAACAAAGCCCTTAAACCGAATTCGAACCGGACTAAACCAAACAAGAACCGTACCAGACTTCCGTAAACTTTTATTATAGTAAACAATAACTAACCACACCATTATTTATATTATAATTATCTCATTTCTTTCTTCTCCTCCTCAACAGCAGCACTAACTTCCTTCTCCACCTTTTCCTCTTCCTTCGGTTTCGGTTCGGTTTTCTTTTCCGGTTCAGCTTTGATTTCAGTCTCCTCCTCCGCTTCGGTTTTGTCCTCCGTCCCGGTTTTGGCTTCCGGTTCCATCACCGGTTTTGGTTGTTCTGCTTTCTCAGCGTTTTCTTCACCCTCCTCCGGTTGAACCTCATCAACCGGTTCAACCTTCGGTTCTTCGGTGCCATCGGTTTCATCTTTAGACTTCTCACCGGTTTCTTCCTCCGATTTCTCGGTTTCCTCGGCCTCTTTCTCGGTAATGGCCAAGGATTGGACTTCCACAACTTCTTTTGTGTCGGCCTCTGCTTCAGTTTTTTCGGCCGAGTCTTCTTCTTTCCGTGGTTCCTCGGCCTCAACCACTTCCGGTTCAGTCGCTTTCTCCTTCTCGTCCGAAAGTACCTTTTGAACCGAAACAACCTGCAAAAGGATTTTTTTTATATAATTTTGTTACAAAAACACATTTTTTTTTTGTTTAAATGACTAAAAAGATAATATGAATCAAATGTTAGGGAGAATGCAATATAAGACACAAAATTTGGGTGATTCACTGCCAAACCAATCTCACTAGTTGAAATCCATAACACGATAGGTATTGTTTGGGACACTGCATGTAATTATGTACGCGTAACGTACTCAATATGTTTGCAATTGCCGATAAAAACAATGTTTGCCAACACACACACACACATATATATATATATATATATATATGCGAAAGGGCTAAATGGATACCTCAGCAGTGGCCATAACTAGCAACTTACGGGAAAACTAAGCAAAAGATGGTCGAGAGGAAAGAGAGAAGCAGCAAATGCTGAAGTAGTAGTGGAGCTTATGTATGTGTAGAGTGTGAGTGGATGAGTAAAATGGCATGGGCGATGAGGCTTTATATAGAGGTAATTAGAGAGAGAGAGAGAGAGAGGATATTGAGATGTGATATTGGAAAACCCGTCTTCACCAATTTGATAAATAGAGAATATTGGCATGATTGGTGATAATTCTATATTTTTTTATTAGATTTAGTATAAAAAAACATTTTTTTTAATAATCGAATATCAAGGTCCAAAGTAATTTCGGGGCCGAAGACCACCATATGATTTGGAATAAGCTCCACGGTAGCAGGAATTATAAAAGTTTTTGAATATTGAATTTCATTGTTACAAAGTAGAAACAGTTAAATAAAATTTTATACTTCAGAAAGACTACTTAATTGATACAAAAAATATCGGTGAGGTTATATATATGTTGAGGGGTTTTTTTTGTAGGAAGAGCATACATAGGAACATTTTTTAAATTTATTGTTCATAATGTATACTAAATGACATTCAAATACAAATCGACACCTTTAAATTTTGTACATTCACACCGCGCTTCGTCCCCGAGCACATAGTAATATTTTTATTTTCTAATTAATTGTTAAATGTTTTGGGCTTAAATGAAAGATGTGCTTTTGGGATTTTGGATGTATGGAATTTTTCAACAAGGGTCATCATTCTAGGTGTTTTGGTAGTTTGTGTTAACGTGCTTTGTGCGGTCACTGATCATTACACCACCGCCGATAACGTCATCTCATGTCTACACAAAATCTTTCATTATTCTCTTTTTCATTTATGTATATATATATATATATATATATATATATATATATATAATCTCATTGATTTCCCTTATATAGTTCTTCGGCCTATATATATTACAGGCCATTTGAAAATTAAAATATTTTATTTGGATTAATCATTTACACTTAAATGTTATATCCTAAATTATATGTAGAATTATGTGGTTATCCTAAATATATAACATTAAAATATTATCTGTTTAATCAGTGAATTAGATGTTAGAATTCTAATCCATATTGCTTGAATCCGATATTCAAACCACTTCAAAAGTGAAATGGATTTTTTTTTTTCATTTTTAAACCCTAAACTCACAAAATTATCTGAAAACTTATTATCATAACTAAATAATAAGAATAACAGCTGGGAAATCTATCATTTTATACATGCCAAAGAATTTGAACACGATTCACACGGAATATTATTTTTTTAAAAATTAAAATTGATAATAATGAAGTCATTTTTTAATACTGTTAATAATAAATAGAAGGAATTTATGTCCAAAGGGAACAAACGCAACGAAAACCGAACGCAAGTGGAAAACGCCGTACGGAAGCAGACGCCGTAATCGTGATCGAGCGGTGCCTCGCGATCTGCGGCCTTTCAATTTTTTTTAAAAAATCCAAAACAGCCTTAAGATAAACAGAGACACTGCATGTCGTTTCCACCAAAAAATGTCTCGTCGGAGAAGAAAAACGGCACGCTTTCGCTCTTATCTTTGCTTTTTTTTATTCGGGCGGTGATGTGGAACCCACTAATGGCCCACATACTGACTCTGCATACGATGCATCGAATCATAGGGTGACACGTAGGATAAAGGAGCGACCACGTTGGCCCTTGTTTTTACGTGATGGAACTTTGTGGGACTAATGAGAACGAGCCAAGCAAAACCAACCAATATGCCATTATATTCCCGAAGAACTTGGTTTTTAATAATCAATATATATTTAAATAAATATATTGGAAGAGTAATAGTCGAATTAAATTTCAAAAAATAAAACTGCACATACTCTTGACGACAAAAAGTTCATAATATAATTATAATTATGATGATTTACATAGGAGATAATATTTTATTGGGATAAAACTTAAAATGAAATAAAAATTTTGTAATATATTTAGGACTACATTCTTTCATTTAAATTTTCACATTACATATATATATATATATATATATATATATTCTCGTCATCTATAGAACCTTGATGGTACGTATTTTGTAGCTATGCGAAGTTGTTCAATTATGCCTATCATCACATTGGAGCACTTTCATTACTGTATATTCACGGTGCGGTTCGAATATTTTATCTATCAATTACAAATTTAAACAATCGATTAATGGAATGATTTATATTACCAAATTCATGCTTTAAATTTGTACATACCTTTATAACAGGAAGATTGCATACGACGACACTAAATATATTTATGTTGATTTTAATTCGTTACAACTCATGATTACCATATCCGTGAGTAAAATCGTCCACAGTGGACAACAATCGTAATTTAAATTCTGTAATCAAGTATTGTAAAATTAGGACCCCAAGTCACATTTCAATCTCAAGGTGGAGATGGGAACAAACGTGATAGCTTATGAAATAAATGTTCGGCCTTGAGCCCAACGCTCGGGAAGAAAATACGAAAGCTCCGACGCTTCTGTCGAGGACTTTAAATCCGAAACTCAAAACTCTAATAGATTACCTCACTCGGAATCGGTAAATGACCTTTTTACCCTTAATCGCGGATCTTCGTTTCGCTAATGTTTCTAGCTTAGAGCATTGCTGCGCCACGTGTCGCGAAACCGGCCACGAGCCGAAACCTTCAAGAATCATTAGATTTATTTAAAAATACATTTGAGTTTTCTTTATATATAAATTTACGATTACAGAAATTCAATTTGATTGATGGGCCATGAAGAGGGGCAAAACTTGTATACGTGCGTGGATACGTGTCGCATTCGATTTCCATAAGATATAATATTGTAATCAATGCCAAGTTCAATGCAATTACTTCTCGTGCCATTCACTTTCTGTCACGCGCAGCTTCATGTGTGTGTATATATATATGGGTGAAAAATCTTTTGAATTGATATATGGGTGAGAAAATAGAAAGATTTTTGTATAAAAATCGATGATTGCACGTAACGGTACAAAAGATTATATTTGGAGGAGTTCGAATTAGGATTCCAGATATATTCTAGTGACAATGAAAAGTATAATTGTATAAATAATAAATAAATCAAAATAAAATATATATTTGGAAGACATAAAAACAAGAATTTCATTTTATTTTTAAATTTGTATATCCACATTCAAGCTCACAGATATATTCGCCGACGGTTCTGAGATTGCAGGACCATCGTCATACTTTAATGAGTGAATCTTACCGTACTTTAATAAAAATCTAAAGCAAAACTTTTGTATCACATTGGTCAGTGGACGATTTGGTAGGTCATATTGTCAAAAGAAGAACTGCCCTCTTTATCGTGTCTCCCTAATTTCAGGCTCTGACTGCCCATTTATAATTATATATATATATATATATGGTTAATTTTAGAGTTTATTTTGTATTAGGAGTTTTTTTTACTTATATAAAACATAAGCCATTGCTGTGGGAAAATGGGAGAATTTATATTTTTTGTGGATTATAAATAGAGAGAAAATATTTTGAGAGTAATATATCCGTATAAATTGATTTAGGGGGAGATCATAATGATTTTTATACAAAAGTCAGTGAATGCACATTGGATACCAAAGATAATATTTAAGGGATCTTGAATCAGAATTTCAGGTTTATTCTAATAACTACATATAATTATATACAAATCCGAGCAGAAGACATAAAAACACCTAATCTCGTTAAATTGCAGAACCAGCGTCATATGAATATAAAATACACATAGTTAGGAAACATTAAATATAAAATCCAATTTAGCACGTCAAATAAGAAATCAGAGTTAGGTGTATGCATCTGTTAGTCATGCAATTATCCATCTAATAATTTTTTTAATTAATAATTTTGTCTTGTCTTCGGTCGACTGCGCTGCGCGTGGAACCCTATTTTCCCATTCTGATTTTCGTTAGTGACATTCACGATCTCTCTCTCTCTCTCTCTCCTATAACTCGGATCACCACATGACTCGTTCCAGCTCCCCGTAAAAGAACATTCCCAGAACCAAAATCCCTAAATTTGCCAACCTTACGTTAGAGCTCCACGATCCAGGGGGAGAAGAACAGAGAGAGAGAGAGAGAGAGAGAGAGAGAGAGAGAGAGAGAGAGAGAGAGAGAGAACTCCAAACCCTTCATTTTTCTTCGCGAGATCTTTCGAGGGTTATCTCCAATTCACGATTTTGATCTGGGGAAAACGCATTGCTCTTGTTTTCGTTTCCTGGGTTCGTCGAGTTGATTGATGTCTGTGGATGCTGGAGCTGTATCGGGTTCCAGAGACATGGGTTTTGACGAGAAAAAGAACAAGGAAGGAGGAAGCACTGGAGAAGAGACCACGTCCGAAACGGCGCCGCATCACGAGAGTACGGACGATGAGGCGGTGGGATCTTTGAAGAGAGAGATGAGCGAGTCTTCCCTGTACGCAACCGAGGAAGAGGAAGAAGATGAGGCCGCTCTTGGTGAGAAATTACAACTGGGCCCTCAGTACACTATCAAGGAGCATCTCGAGAAGGATAAGGTTGTTTTTTCTTTTCTTTTCGCCCTTTTCATCTTCTTTTTTTTTTTGTTGAAAATGTTTGGACTGAATGTAAAGGATTTCTCAAAAAATGTATTGTTTCTTCTGAATCTGGTAGGATGACGAGAGTCTCAGGAAGTGGAAGGAACAACTTCTGGGCAGTGTGGATGTGAACAACATCGGAGGTACAATTTTTTTTTTTAAATTATGATTATTTCGATTTCTAGTTGGGTATTTGGAATGTGGGTAATTTTATTAGGTAAATCTTTGGTGACATTTACGGTGTATAGATTCGATATTAATGGCGAAAGGTGCTGTCTTTCCCGTTGTTTTCTATTTGATGTTTCTTGGTAAGCTGAGAGAACTGTATAACCAGTCTTACAGATTTTTCTATTGTCTTTAGTTGCCTTAGTAGACCAGATTGGTCTTTGACCCTTTGCTTGTTTCTTGAAGCAATGTGGTTATTAAGACAATCCGATCAAGTTTCCTAGAGCAGGCATTCCTTCTTTCTCATTGATCTTTTCTCATATAGCTTGTCTGCATATTTGTCTTTGTAGCTTATGTTCATTGAACTTTGTTTATGGCTTCTGTGAATGTCTTGGACCGATGCATGCGGTTTATGTAGTTTATATACAATGCTAAGATTCATGAAGAATCAGAACTTTTTCTTGTTTCTGTTTTTATTGGTGATGAATCATGTGGTCAATCAGGCGATTCTTGCTTTTCTCATTAGGACTTATGATTATGCAACATCTGTTATGTTTTAAGTACTGTAGCATACTCTCTTGATTTGAGATATTTCATATAATGCTGATTTTCTTGGGAAATAAGATAAATCAAAATTATCTTGCCATCAAATGAGCATTTCGAGTGACTCTGACATGTTCTTGTCTTCTGTCTCGCATTTCAGAGACTCTTGATCCTGACGTGAAGATCCTTAGCCTTGCGATCATTTCTCCTGGTAGACCCGATATAGTCCTTTCAATTCCCGAGGCTGGAAACATCAAGGGGTTGTGGTTTACGCTGAAAGAAGGGAGCAAGTACAACCTGAAATTCACATTTCAAGTTAGCAAAAACATTGTGTCTGGCCTTAGGTACACCAATACTGTCTGGAAGACCGGTGTTAGAGGTAACTCATTTTAGTAAATAAGAATTTTGGTCAAGCTCCTCCGATATTGGATTAGGAGCAACACAAACTATACAATTACTCTGTGAATTATTTTTACATTTTCAGTGGATAGAACAAAGGAGATGCTTGGAACTTTTAGTCCTCAGCTGGAGCCTTACACACACATGATGCCGGAAGAGACCACTCCTTCTGGAATGTTTGTTCGGGGATCATATTCCGCAAGAACTAAGGTCAGTTTAGCCAATCATAGTACGATCCACCGGTTCATAAATTATGAACACTCAATTGACTGAGATTGCCATATAGTTTAACTGGGATTGGCTGATACCCATTTGGTATCTTTCTTAATACTCCATGATTTGAGCCTGATACCCTTAGTTCACAGGAGTCAGATTCTTGTTTTGGACAGAAGGCATCAGCTTTGATGGATGAAAGCCATAAACCCTAGTGACCTAGTTTTTCTTGTAGTAGGAGATCTTGTCAGTGTCTAGTTGTTCCGATTCTACTACGTTGTCGGATTGTATATGTTTCTATTATTTCTCGTGATTCCTCGTTTTAAATTTCGATATTTCTCCTGGCAACCCTCCTTATGATGATTTCTCTGGATTTCCCTTTCAGTTTCTTGACGACGATAACAAATGCTACTTGGAGATCAACTACACCTTCGACATCCGTAAAGAATGGCCTGCAACCTGAGAACCGAAAGAGAACCTCCCGGCTCAGTCCTCGTCCTAGCAAGATCTCTCTCTCTCTCTCCCCATCTCGTCTGAACATATTATGTGAATCCTTTGCTGTTAACCAGTTCGTCTTCTTTCATGTCTCCGGCAAGAAGTTGGTACAAGAACATCATTCGTAGAACGAGGAACAGACGTCTGTATTCCTTCGTCTTGTGTTCACGTGATCCTTCTCTGTTCGGTTTTGAGTTGCGTCCATTGTTAGGTTGCTGGAACTCGGGCAGTGTTTCGGATTTCGTCGACATTGTACGGTGATAACTTTTGTTTTTCTTAACCTTCTTCATGTCCGATGGTTTTCTCCATGAGCTGTAAACTACGCGCACTTTGTTTTTCGAGTACTGCATCGACTCTATATATAACAGATTCAAGAGAACCAAAAATGTGGAATATATTGCGCTATTATAGTTAGTAATTTCATAGTTTTCTCTTATGTTTTATGTTTATGAATAAAATCTATTTGGGGTCAGACTTCTCTTTTTTGTTAAATCAATTGTATTGTTTAATTTTATCCATCATAAAATTTAAACGGTATTAATGATAATCCTAAAATTCATCATGGTTCAATTACAATTTGATTTATCATGTTTTGTTACGGTTGACTAGTCAAAATTTCAATCGTCAACAGCCGATTATCCTGTTTGCGTTTGCGATAAAGATGGCTTGGTGAGCAAGGAATCCTGTGATTTGCGGTGCACGTTTTCTCGTGTCCACGTCACCTTTTTGTTTTTTGTTTTAATTGACAGGAACCCAAAGTCTCATGACTCGGGGAGTTGGTTGAAACGTCGCTTCATATATCGAAGACTGACTTTGTGCTGATGTTGTGACACCATAGCCGTCTTCTCCTTTGCTGCTCCTTAATTTATAGAGAACCTTTCATCTCGCAAAATACGCATGCATTTATGTGTATGTGTGTATATACATGTATGTATGCATGCATGCATGCATGTATGTATGTATGAATCATGTCGATCTGACAACGACCTTCTATTCTTTGTTTTATTTTGCTCAGCAAAAAAAAAAAAAAAAAAAAAAC